AAATAAATAAATAAATAAATAATTTATCCTATTGAGGCAATTGGTTTGCATAGATTTAAGTGAACACAACTTATTTTTCTTGATATTGTAGCATGTATCATGTGGTGAAGGTTCTGGACAGACTGGTCGTAGCCCGTCTCAGGACCCAGGTGAAGTCAGTGCTGGAGGTCCTGACTTCACCACTTAGGAGTTAAAGATGCTGTCATCTACCTGCGGCAAAGAGCTATGTTTTATTTGGATGGTGGAGGAAATGCTGTGAGAATCACATACTTTGATTTCTCCAGTGCTTTTAACACCATTCAGCTGCTGCTGGATTTTAAACTGTGGGTTATGGGTATCAAGAGCTCAGTGATCTCCTGGATGCCTGACTACCTGACAAGGAGGGCACAGTTTATCCCTCTGGAAAGGGCTGTTTGATATGGTGGTCAGCAATACAGGGGCTTCTCAGGGCACTATGCTTTTTTGTCTGTCTTTTTCTCTCCACCTTACACACGAATGACCTCCAGTACAGCACAGAGTAATGTTGCCTACAGAAGTTCTAAGATGACTCGGCTGTCCTATGGGGCATAAGATGGGAAGAGTAGGGTGAGTACTCTTCTCACTGTAACTAACTGATAGAAAACTTTGTGGATTGAACTGAAATGAACCACCTGAAGCTGAATGTGAGTAAGACTGGAGAGCTAGACTTCACAGACACTGGGATTAGGGGGAGAAAGTGGAGGTGTTGGAGCACTATAAATATCTGGATGTCTAACACTAAGGCTGTGTACATGAAAGGAATAAAGAGACTCTATTTCTAGAGGAAGTTTCAACCTTTTAATCTCTGCAACAAGATATTGGAGATCTATCAGTCTGTTATCTGCAGCATCATCATTTTCACGGCTGTTGTTTTTGGGGAAATCTTCCTTGCCATCAATTGATGTTACATTTGTTGTGGGGGCAGAGGTTGTCTCAAGACCAATATGGTCCAACAAAAGAATACTAAAGAAGATCACAGTTTTCTTAGTGATAAATAAGGTAGTGAGAACCATATGAACTGAAATGTCTCGGCAGTGAAGCCAACTAAGTTGCCCAACAAACTAAGGGGATAGATTTAAGATGATTTAAAGTCCAAATCTGGCAGGGGTAATAATTATTTTGTGCCTTACTATATGTATAATTGCTTGCAGGGAAGTCCTTACTTAATCAAACTCACAACTGTCATTTCTACAGTAGAATAAGTTTCAGTAACAAAAAAGAAAACACTAACTGACATGACTGTGGGACTGCTGCTGCTCTGCCAAGACGGGAAATGAGTCAGATTTATTAGTCACCTTGATTCTATGGCACTTTCCACAGACAGGGGGCAGTAGATGCGATCATAGCTGGTTTCCTAAAACAAAAACAAACTGTTTGCACATGCGTATCAAGGTGGGTCTAATTGCTTAACAAAAAGCTACTTACTGTGACTTTGTGAGTGATTACTGTTTGAAGGGTCTCACAAGAAATCTGCAACAAGGACCCAACCCTTCTGGCCTCTACCTCACTGAAGATACGAGCCACCTCAAATGACTCACTCTGAAACAGCACCAACAAAGGTGTGATATGAATGCCTTGCATCTCATTCTGACAGTCTCATTTAAAGACACATACCTCATATGAGCTGAAACAAATGTTACCAAGATGTAGAATAGAGGAGAGGATGGCCCAGATGTTGGAGATTTGATTTGCGTGTAGGCCAATAGTCTCCAAACATTTAAGCAAAAGTTGAAAGTCTTGTTTTTCCTGTTTCCCTTTCAAAGTACAGGCACCACCCTACATGGTATAAGAAAAGTCAAAACATTTATAGTAAGTGAAAATAAAAAATTACAAATTAAACAGAAAAAACAAGAATTGATAGGTTGTTGGTCTCATTTACTTGATTTAGGTAGTAGTAAGTCTCAGCTCCCTGCAGGTATAGCTTCTCTTTGTCCCAGTCGTTCATACCTTCCAGCAGTTCATAGAACACATGATAGTTCCTCTCCTTATTGGCCTAAATTATAAATTAGGCAATAATTTTATTTTATTTGAATGTGCTGATTTACAATCACTTATAAGGCACAAGAGAGAAAGCAAAGATTTCATTGCATCATTTGTAAAATGCTGTTTCACTATGTTCAATACAGTCAAATTAATTCTAGTTTAAAGCTATTTTAAATTGCATACTTCCGTTTATAGATTTGGACTGTGAACAGCCCATGCTTCAGGTGCAGTTCAGAATTTTGAGATTTTAGCTTCAACTGAAGAAACAACAACAGATGCAGCACAACCGGCCCTTTAAGAGCATTCATGGTCTTGATTTGACCCAAAACAAAAATGAGTTTAATACCCCTGCCCAAGAATATTTAATAAACCAGCCCCAAGCCATGCTTTGACTGACAATCATGAAATTGAATACACATATAAAGTGTGACAGGACCTAAGAAAAAGTTTTCGGGTGCCACAGGAAGTTGGCCATTTTGGATGAATGTCACCATGTTGTCTCTGTTACACATGTTGCATCTGAACAAACTTCTCCCACAGCTTTTAACTTACAGACTTTACAATTTTTCACCACAGTCTTGTGGCATGAAAGATCAATAGTTATCGAAATGTTTATTGTACATCAAAGCGTGTGGGCGTGCCCAGCCCGCAAAACCTGGTCATTTATGGCAAGCCATTTTAACATACATTCAGTTTTACCGCCCTTGCATTCCAGATATCTCAAATTGTTTTATGACTAGATGTTTCAGCGATTTAAGATATCTCTAATTATATTCTGACTAGATAAAATACCTATTTGAGATATCTTTACATCGAAATGACGTCAGATTTACCATTGAATTGTATGGAGACTTCAATTCAAGATATCTACAATGAATTACTGACTATCTGAAATACATATTTTAGATATCTACAATTAAATTATGACTAGTCATAAAGTAAATTCAAGATATCTCAATTTTAGTTTTGACTAGTCATAATTCTAATTAAAGATATCTCGAATTACTCCATAATTCGAGATATCTTAAATGTATTTGTGGAGAGGAGAAATTTAGTTTTGACTAGTGAAAACTAAATTATAGATATCTTAAAAGCAAATAATGACTAGACAAAACTAAATTAAAGATATCTTGAATTGTAATTTTGACTAGTCAAAATTCCTTTTAAGATATCTCTAAGTCAATTAGAGATATCTTGAATTACACAGCTTTTCTTTTTAAAATATCTTAATTGACATTCTGACTAATCAGAATGACATTACTGATATCTTGAATATGTATTATGTACAGTCAAAACGTCCCTGACTTACATAGCAATTTTAAAGTTTAATAAAACAATGAAAAATAGAAAAAACGAAAAAAAAACATGTTTGAAAATGCACCACTTTCATGTTGAAAATGCTTTGACAATAACAATTTTAGCTTTTCAAAGCTGTTTTTAAGTGCATTCGGTTTGTCGGAAATGAATCAACAGGAAATTCCTTGCAGACATCAGAAGCAGTCTTATAGTTTATGAAGTTTTGCGTTCTCCGCATATCCAACATTGCCGAGCTCTTTCTACGTTGTGGGAGTTTACTGACAATTTTATGCAGAAAACATAAAATTCTGCAGGCAATTGTTTGGACAGCACAAAGGGGCTTCCACCCAATTCTTAATTCAGATATCTGAATTAATTTTGACTAGTCAAAATTACAATTTTGACTAGTCAAAATAAGTTCAAGATATGTGTCCCATCAAGTGACAGATCCCGTGATGTAATTTGAGATATCTTGAAAAGAATTTTGACTGGTGTTAAGAAAATAAATTTAAAATATGCTAATTTTAAAACTTAGCAACATATCTTGATTGAAACAGCCTAATTATAGTTTTCAGATTAATAACTTATTCTGCCCTATTGACCTTTATGTTACCTGTAGTTACAGCAGATTGTTTGCTAAGATCTTTTGAACTGCCCTTTGTCTGTGTGGCAAGCAATCAGGAGAAGTTCCAGCTTTCACACTGATCTGTGAAAAGCCATAAAACAGGATGAGTTCAGGCCAGCAGAGGAGAAGCTCCACTTCCACTTTGTTTAGATAAAGGTGACAACTGGTGTTTGATCTTGAAAACAAATTGCAGGGAGTTTCAAACTTTTAAGAGGTCCGAGACAGCTCCTGGTTGGATGAGCAAAGATATGCCTTATTTAAATATATTAAAGAGAAGAATACGCCTTTACTATAAAAGTTTGTATACAGGAGTAACAAATCAGATTTGCTTTTGCAACTCTCCAAAGACGTCTTTGCTTTTCTTTCTTTCTTCTTCTTTTCTATTTGTCTCAGGTAAATGAATGTCTGTTATACTACTTTAAAGTGTCTGTATTGTCAATGTGATTTTATACTTTTGAATGTTAGTATAAACTCTGAAAATGTATGACGCGGAGCGTTGACTGTCATCTCTGTGTGGCTTTTGTTTCCACGCATGGAATCATTGAATCCAGGAGCACAAGAGAATATAATGAGGCAGAAGTTAATGATTATATTCTCTTAACACTGATCAAAATGTAATTGAAGATATCTTTAGTTATTATTCAAGATATCATTCGTCAGAATGGAACGATAAAACGATAAAATAAAACTAGCAACAGGAAAGAAACTTGAGAGCATAACAATAAACCAAGAGAGGATAATGTTAATCAAAGAAAACTGAATGAAAATGCATGAAGAACAAAATGCAAGAATAAACTAAGAAACTAAATCAAATACAGAGGAATAATCTGGTATGGCAAGACCTGTCGAGCAATAAGTAATACAGAGGACTGTATGGCAAGAACAAACAGACACTGTTTTCAGATAAAAGGTAAAATAATATAAAGGTATATTATATATAATATTGGAATATTTGTTTCACTCAGATTGGCTGCTGTTAGGCCTACCGATTTTAAGTTGAATGTCCATTACATTTTTTGTAGAGACGTGTAAAAATAATTTTGATTCACATGCCTTTTTTGTTCTCTGGGAAATTATTTTTTATGATAAATACAGAAACAACCATAAAATCAAAACATCAACAATAGTGATAGTAATATTAACAATAAAATAATATTCAGTGCAAAGTAGAATTCAATTTCTTATATGGGGGCAGTAAGGGACTTGGATAATGGATAGGGGGGCGCTGGCCCAAAAAAATGTTGAGAAACACTGCCTTAAAGTAACTGGATTATTTGAAGTAAGCTAGAATTAAAGATGTGTAACTATTATATAGTTACACATATAAATATATAATAGTTATATGTGTAACTGCTATATAGTCTATTAATATTCAGTGATTTGGAGGAGAGAGCACTGTCACTGTTGGACCCTTCCTCCCAAGAAATGATGGAGTCATTGTTGCTTCCTATGGCTCAAAAAATCTGCTTGCAGTCCTTCAGTAGAACCAGCTCCCTCTTCTTCATCTCTCCATCCAGCTTCTTCCTCCAAAACTGCAGATAAATTGGTCAAATCTTCTGTGAAATGTCACGGTTTCCTCCACTTCTGCATATTCAGCCTTAGTTGTTTACAGTTTGACTTACCCTGATTAAGTCAGGATAAAGACACTTGATCAATGAACATTCTGTGCTATGAAAGCTTTTAAAGATTGACAAAAAACTTCTGTAATGTTCTTAGTTAAAAACTCTTTCAATGACAAAAACAATTTTCCCTGAAGCCTTTGAAAGAAATGGAAGCATTTAAATAGGCATGTAATTAGCCAGGGCAGTGTGATCAATGCCAGATTTCTTAAGCAGTAGCTGCACTACAGCATGCTTAAAATGATCCAGAATCACACCAGCGGACAGACTCCAGTTAATAATGGCAAGAACAGACTGTCCTTTACTAGAAAGTAATTCTTTCAATCTGTGCCAAACTTACCTTAGATATATACACCCCTCAGAAATGAAGAGGTTTGTAGTACTAACTGTGAAAATCTAGAACATATGTTCTGTGCATTAAAATCTTTTCTTGTATTTTCAAGACCAATGCATGTCTCTGTCTAAAGTATTTTTTGACAGAAACTGTAATATGTCAAAGCACTCAGTGAACTTACCTGAAAGACAACCCTGGACTTCTCCAAGAGATAGTTAGACAGTGAGGTTCCTACAACAACTCCACTGTCAACCAGGAGACAAAATTTTAAAATAGCTACAATCAATTTTACCAGTCATGATAAGAGATCAATCTACAAATATTCCTGAATTAAGTGATAATTGGTGGACTTACTGGAGTATGTGAATGTGAAGGTACTTGCCAAATCGGCTGGAGTTGTTGTTAAGAATAGTCTTGGCATTCCCAAAGCTTTCCAAGATGGGAAAGACTTCCATCGGCTAATTAAGAAATGAAAACAAGTGCACATTAGAAAAAAATGATAATTGTTTTTTTTTTTTTTTTTTTTTTTCCCAATTTTGAATTACCTGTCTTAGGTTGTCATTTCTGTCCTGATAGATTGAGCTGAGGTAATGGACTATTTGCTTCATAGCTTCAGTCTTTCCAGAACCACTCTGTCCACTGAGTAAGAAGAAATGTATTGGACAAATTATCATAGAAAAACTGAGGAGAAATAGCTTCATAAACTGAAGAGACTCTTCAAAATCTTCAAAGAAATATTGGAATTTAATCTATAAAAGTATCAATCATTTTTCAAAATACCTAATAATGGAGTTAAGAGATGACAGGCTCTGTTTTTGTTAACAGAGCCTATCATAACTGCTCAAGCTAACTAGCATGGCCACAGATGACGATGGATAAACTGGAAGGGTAAGTTGTTTGTCCATACTGTGCAGGACATAAAGGACCTTGATTGACAGTTTAAAGAGCCTCCTCCTGGCTCTTATTGGTTGCTTGTGACCCGGAGCGATGTATTTTTTCATACGGCAATGAAAGCACTGGAAAGAGCTCAATCTTTTCAAAGATGTTCTGTCTCCTACCAAACTGTCACAACATAGTGACAGTTTTAATGTCAAAATATATATATTTTTATATATATTTTTAAAAAAGCACATAATGTAGCTTTATGGCGGATGTTTGGGCACAAATTCCGGTCATAAATATTTTGTACTAGTAAATAAGACTGTATGAACTGAGTTTTGTAACCCTGCAAAGTAAAATGGCAGAATTTCAGTTTTGTCCATGCATAAATTGGAATATGTCTGTGTAAAATGCATGAGATATGAATGCTTGCAAATAAGAATGCCATCCATCCATCCATTTTCTTCCACTTATCCGGGATCGGGTCGTGGGGGCAGCAGCTTCAGAAGGGAGGCCCAGACCTTCCTCTCCCCAGCCATGTCTTCCAGCTCCTCCAGGGGAATCCCAAGGTGTTCCCAGGCCAGCCGAGAGACATAGTCCCTCCAGCGTGTCCTGGGTCTTCCCCGAGGCCTCCTCCCGGTGGAACGTGCCCGGAACACCTCACCAGGGAGGCATCCAGAAGGCATACTAACCAGATGCCTGAGCCACCTTAACTGGCTCCTCTCGACGTGAAGGAGCAGTGGCTCTACTCTGAGTCCCTCCCGGATGACCGAGCTTCTCACCCTATCTCTAAGGGAGAGCCCAGCCACCCTGTGGAGGAAACTCATTTCGGCTGCTTGTATCCGTAATCTCGTTCTTTCAGTCATAACCCAAAACTCATGACCATAGATGAAGGTGGGAATGTAGATCGAACGGTAAATCGAGAGTTTCACTTTTTGGCTCAGCTCTCTCTTCACCACGACGGACCGGTACAGCGCTCACTTCACAGCAGACGCTGCGCCAATCCGCCTGTTAATCTCCTGCTACCTTCTTCCCTCATTCGTGAAAAAGATCCCCAGATACTTAAATTCCACCAATTGGGGCAGGACACCATCCCTGACCCGGACAAGGCACTTTACCCTTTTCAATCTCAAGACCATGGCCTTGGATTTGGAGGCACTGATCCTCATCCCGGCCACTTCACACTTGGCTGTGAACCGCTCCAGCAAGAGCTGCAGATCACGATGAAGCCAATAGGACCACATCATCTGCAAAAAGCAGAGATGCGATCCTAAGGCCACCAAAACGGATCCCCTCAACACCTCGGCTGGTCAGAGATTCTGTCCATGAAAGTAATGAACAGAATCGGTGACAAAGGGCGGAGTCCAACTCTCACCGGAAATGAGCCCGACTTACTGCCGGCAATGCGTACCAGACTCTGAAACCGGTCATACAGGGACCTGACAGCCCGTATCAAAGGGCCCGCTACCCCATACTCCCGGAGGATCCCCACAAGGCTCCCAGAGACTGTCAAATATTCAGTCTTCCTGAATCCGAGGTCAGTCCCCCACCCTTAGGTGAAGGGTGGCTACCCTCTCATTCACTGGGGTAAACCCCAATGTACAGGCACCGAGATGGGGAGCAACAAATATGCCCATTCCCGCCTGGTGCCTTTCACCGTGGGCAACTCCCGAGTGGAAGTATGTCCAGCCCATCTCCAGAACCAGAGCCATGCGTCAAGGCAAGACCGGCTATTTCTAGCCGGAACCTGTCAGCCTCACAGCAGGAGCAGGAGCTCCTGCTCCTTCCCCACCACAGAGGTGACATTCCACATCCCGTAGTTAATAAATTATGCTATCTTATAAAACCAGGGCTGTGCAGAGACCTTTGGAGGGGCAAGGACCCAAAGTTAAAAAGGGCCACACTGAGTAAGATCTTAAAAGACTGTATCATCATACTGTATCATTCTCATCATGTGGAGATTAATGCAAAGTAAATCTAGGCTATATTTTCCCTGATATAGCTGCTGACTTGCTGGAGGGCTGTGTTGATCTGAGACTATATTTTTAAATAGATAATAGGAGAGAATACCACTGGTTATGAAGTATGTTGTGAAATAAGCAAATTTATTTCTATTTTACTAAGTAAACACTGATAATATCTGCAGGATGTCCCTCATTGTATTATAAGCCTTGCGAGCCACCAGACTTTACTTATGCCCCCACCAGGCTAAGAATTGCTTATTTATTTATTTATTTATTTATTTATTTATTTATTTATTTATTTATTTATTTATTTATTTATTTTATGTTTGCATTTCTAAGACTTTATAGTTGGTGTTCAGGTGTTAATCTTCCATTAACACATAATTATCAAGTGATATTTTCAAGTTTCTTGTCAACTTGAACACTGGATGAATTACTGCCCGAGTGCCCAAAACATCAGGCTTACCAAGTTTTCTGGAGAGAAACCTTGATCTGACTGTTTAACCTCTGTAGCAACTTGGCTGCAGACTGCTTTAAAGATCAAAAAAGCTCAGTGGGGTTAACTCTACATAATTTTTCAATATATGCACTTCTGAGATCTACAATTGTAAAGCTGAGAGGTAAATTATTGTCATTAGATTTTGTCATTCAACAAGATCTTGAGAATCATCCATGCATTTAAGTTTAGTCGATTACTGCAAGAGTGTCTACATAGGTCTTCTTTAAAAAATCTACCAGACTTCTACTGAAGGTCTAGCGCACCTGTAAATGCTTGATTTGTAACACGGACCATAGATCTAAAACTTTAGCATTTGTTTGTTGAAAATGAAAATGCTATAAAATTGTATTTAGTGTTTCAGCAGAGATAAATAAATAAAAAATTGAACATGTAGGATTTAATTAGGAAGTTTACTTTGTAAAAGTGCAAAGAATCATTTTGATAGTTTGTTGTGTTACCATGACTACACAGTAAATTCAGGAGGGCCAATTTAACTATGTCATATTTAATTTCAACACTTTCAAAGTGTTGAAATCAGCACTGACTTGTCGTTAGAGATGGATCCGCGTCAGAGACGTGGACGTGGATCCATCTCTGACGACGGGATCCACGTTAGAGAGTGTTAATTTAACTCTTCTTGGAGAGTTGGAACTTTAATTCTAGTTAAGTGTCAAATATCAAATCTGCCTGGAGTTAATAATTTAACAATTACGGTACTAACACTAAATTGATGTTAGATCTTAAATATTAACTCTCACAGAGTATTTTTTTACCTTTAAGAGTTATTTGTAATTACCATATTTTCCGGACTATAAGACTAAACGCCTTAAATTTTCTCAAAAATCAGCAGTGCGCCTTATAATCCGGTGCTCCTTTTGTATGGGTTAAATACAGAAATGGACGTCATAATTGAGAGTGTGCCTTATAGTGCGGAAAATATGGTAATACTAAATATGTATTTTGTTGTTTTGAGCTTTAAAAATTATTTGGAAAATAAACATTTAATAAAGAGGCGATTTTCTGAAATGTGTTTATTTCAAAGCATGCACTATAATTAGAAAACATATTACTATAACATACACTTTCATGTTTCACATGTTGTTTTCAAAAGGTCTATGTCAGCTGCAGTGGCGCAACTACACATTATTCAGGTGGATGCGAAAACATAAATCTCCCCCCACCCCCCCATTCCCCTCTCCCCAAAAGGAAGGTTGAAGGAGCGTGGAAAACATACGCTCCTTCAACATACCCCCACAGACGACGTTACGTGAAGGGTAACACTCCCTACATTTACCTTGTAACGTGCACGAGGTGAAGGAGCGTAAGGCGCGCTGAAGTGTATGGGAAAACATAATCGGCGCGCCGCCCCCTCCAGACGGGGTTTTGATGCGCCCTCTGGTGCTGCGCCCCTATGTGTTGCATGCGCTGCATACCCCTTTTGTGCGCCACTGGTCAGCTGTCCATCGATCCATCTATCTTCTTACACCCTTGTCCCTAGTGAGGTCGGGAGGGGTGCTGGTGCCCATCTCCAATGAGATTTCGGGCGAGAGGCAGGGTTCACCCTGGATAGGTCGCTAGGCCACACAGGACAAACAACCATGCACACACACACCTAAGAAGAATTTAGAGAAACCAATTAACTTAACAGTCATGTTTTTGGACTCAATGCAAACTCAATGCAGAAAGACACCAGGCTGGAAATCGAAAACAGGACCTTCTTGCTGCAGGGCAATAGTGCTACCAACTGCACCACTGTCAGCGAGTCGATGCAAAAAAAATAAAAAATGTGCTTAATACATTTTTCTTCAATAAAACATACATGAAATTGTTCAAAGTACAAGGTGGAGAAAGTAATGCATGAAGTTCATGTAATATGATACAGTAAATTTTCTTTTAACACAGGTAGATTGTTGGACATTACAGTACACAGCAGGCCAACCTGGTATTCATTGCCATCATTTCTTACCCAGTTTATGTTTCTGTTGAATATCTAATAAGACACAGGGCCTAGCTACACTCCCCCAAAGGGTTGTCAACTCACTAACACAGATTGTTTGTGAAGTTTGACCGGTGACACCAACGTACTCCTCATAGGTACTGCGTTGGACAGTCTTGAGTCTCCAAGTAAAATAGCCAGTGTTGGTCTCTGGACCAGTACTGGCTAACAAAAAACCTAACAATGAAAAATGTAACAAAGGTATACATTTTTACTACACCTCTAACAACAAGCCTCAATTACAAAGATGTGGAGTTTCACGGATATTAACACATCATTTTTGGAGAATGAATCTTGGAAGAAGTGACGGACTGGTCAGGGGGTGAGAAAGACTGATGCTGACGACTGG